TAATTTTTAAAACATGAAAGGAATGAGGAATGAAGGGGGGAAAATGGGCTATAATATAGATACCCAACTATTACCAATTATTTTGTAATAGTAGCATCAAAAATGAATATTTGAGACATAATACAATCTAGCATGTCCCATTTYATAATCGGATACATGTCCAAATATGGTCAAACTGGACACATTTTCCTGACACTGTAATTTCTAAATGCTTCMGCACAGAAACTTCACTGAAGGCTCATATGAAAGCTAAAAACACCAAAAATCATATTATACCATCCATATTTACTCACAATATGGTTAAAACAATTTAAAAAAAATCTTCAGCAATATTTATCCTGGTTAGAAGACATTCGTCAAATCTCCACCAACAAACCGCCAAAACATGACAAAAAACAAACAAAAAAATATGACCTCTCTTTTTTCAAAGCATTACAATCCACACAGCTTCTAAAACCTCCAGCAGCAAAATAAAATGTTTTTTTTACTTACTTTAGATGCATATTTGTCCTCAAATTCTGACAAAAAAAAAAAACTATTCAAAATGGCTACCGGAAGTCGTATTTTACGTATTTTAATACTTTTCCTGGCCACAAAAATCACTCATCTTATCTTGAAGCACTCAAAACACTTCATAACAAATATATTTCCACTGTAGCACCATGTATAGTCAGCTAACTGTCCAAAGAAATCCTCTAAAATCCATGTTTCCCATGTTTGTTTTTCTCACCACTGTGGGGACAAATAAATAATACATCACAAATATTCCTAAATTTCATCTCTCATGCGCCACACAAGGTTCCTACCCTGCAAAACTATATACCAAATGAAACTTAAGGTGATTGGCTACACAGCTRTGGTGTCAAAATGAAGCTCAGAGCTGATTGGCCGATTCTAYAGTCAATCAAATTATGCAGTCCAGGGTGGGTCTTATGGATCTTTCTTGACAAAACTGCCTGTAGAACTCATAGAGCAACCCAGTTGGTCAAAAGAGGTGTCAATCAAGACAACGAAACCTATAGAGTCATTTTCCTGGGGCCGAGCCCACGTTCAGTTTTCACTTACATTTTAAAATTTGATACAAGCGAGTTTATATATGTGCTCTCTGTATTCTGAAGGGATTTGAGAGGAAACTGAGTTTTTTTTTTTTGTTCTTTTGCAGTGAGACACACAGRTTGCATGAATATTAGATGCATGTTAATATTTATTTCTCTATAATAGACAAGCAGGTTTAGATTTTCTGACACACTAAATAGTCAAGTTAAATGTTTTTCTCTAG